TATATATATATGTATAAAATATTTAATTATTTTTAACACGCGCATACATACAGATTTTTCCAGGTTTAATTCTTAACTTTGTAATTTAACTTTGTAATTTAAAGTAGTATTAAATATAATTAAATTAAGTATTTAACTAAATCTTTTTATTTTGTTATTATTAGCTTTGAAAAAGTACATCGGCCAAGAAGATCAACTTCATATTGTTCATCACAAACCAAAATACAATACTTTAATATGCAAACCAATATTCGTCTACTTTTATATACATCTGATGTGAAACCCCATCAAGTCTCTGAAAAATTGCTAATCACATATTATAACCAGTTGGCGGTAGTAAAAGTACTATATCCTTCTGCACGCAAAGATATAAGCGAAGCATAAAGTATATTTAGGCTTCAATATATCGCGTGTAATACCGACATATATGACGCCGAGGCTTTCATGATCTACAACATGATAAAAGCAATTACGGCCATCATACGCGAATACTTATACCGTGATGAAGTGACTAGAGATCGTCACTCGCGGACATGTCAAAACATCAATCAACGTAAAATTCTGCCACGAATACGCCTCTACTCAACTACTTTTATTACTTTACTAAATCCTTACATTAGCAAATTGTTTTAGTGAAAGTTCAGCGACTTTTCCGATCGTTAGCGTCAAAAACTTCTGTGATCTTACAATTATAAAGAGAATATCTCGATTTTGAATCGGATTCAATTCATACCAAAGCGCTTCATACGCCGCGTCACCAATCATTTTGCTCTAAAATAAGTTTCATTATAAAACATGTCATATATCCTATACATGTGTCATATTATTTACTGACTTTAGTACTGAGATATTCTCCAAGAAAGCAAACTGTAAATGCCTCCATATTGACTAGAATGTAAAAGAATACGGATTTTACTAGCATAGGCGATCCACCCGGAACACCAATAGACTAAAAATTTTAAATAACTTATGTTTTTTGAACAATTATGTTATTTCACGTGTACTTACGGTCACGATGACAAATCCTAGGGAACAGAGGACTAAAGTAATTGACACGAATTGTATTAGCGCTATGTTCGAAAAGAGAGTCTCAATATTTTTGGAGAAGGAAATAATTTTTTGATGCCGAATAATCAGTATTTTTGCGATATCGTTCATATGTTGCTTAGTGTTCTTCCGTGTAATTTCACTCAGTTTCTGCCGCAATATATCAATCTGTCCACATGCATGAAGAATCTAAATGTTATAAATCAAATTCAATTTAACATCAGATATGTATAATAAAAATACTTTTTTTTGTTCTATATTCAATATTGAATGAATTTTTTATTCTTATTATTTAGGAACATTAAATTTCTATGTATGAAAAAGTTAAATAATAAAATTTAATGTATTAATTAATAATTATTGCGTTTTTATTTTTTCTTCCTTAATATATTTATTATATATTTTTAATAAGCTTAGCAAATGGAACAAATATTTTATTTATTAAAATTTTATATAACTACTTATTTTTTAAACAAAATCATAATGCATTCTTCATTTAATAATGTATTTTATGTAATAATAAATCTGTTTAATTATTTTTAGGATCACTTAAGTCCTTAAATTATCTTCTTGGCGTTATTTTTCTTTATAATTCTAGAAAAATCATGAAAAGTATTCAAACTTACCAATGTTAGCAGCAAGCAATTTAGCACAGCCAACATACTGGCAGCGCTTACCTGATGAACGAACTGCGTAATGAGAACGGTAAGATATACTGATGTGGTTTCGATCTTGAAAGGTAATTCCATTTTGAGAATGAGCTCTCGAGCATCAGTTTGATTGCTGTTTCTGTGGGCCAACAAAGTGCCCATCGCATAGAAGAATACCGATACTGCGTGTGAACAGATTATGAAATTGGAAAACCAGCGAGAAACATAAGCCATTCTATTCATCATGTATTCGTCAGAAATATCACGCTTTTTCCAATCCTCGATCACATGTGCTATTATATCATCCAGCAGACTATAATGAATTATTCAAAAAAATATTGATCGACATGAAATCGCAGCTATTTGCGAAATATTACTCCAGAAATATATAAATCAATGCAAATTTACAAAATTTAAACAGATTAAACAGATTAAAAATCGAACATTTTTTCTTCTGGCGATTAGCTTGAGATCTAGAATAAAGAATCTAAGTGCTTATTTTGTGGTCGTACTGATTTTATACTCAATGTACATCGTAAGAATCTTACCTAACATTGAATATGATAATAATCAGTTTGATAAACAGAAGACTATAAGTCAGAGTTGCGCTTATCACATCCATGAGAAGGAAAATATTGCTTTCGCCAAAGTGCATGATCAAGTACCAATATTGAAAGGTCTGAAATATTGCCATCGAAGATATGCAACATACTCTACGGAAAATTGCACACGATATATTCGGCCATACACCAATCATGCGAAGACCGAACTCTACGGAGCGACATATAGTATTCGCTGATTTTATTTCGTTATTCATTGATATCAAATAAATTTATTTTACACGATCGTCAATGTGATGTATCACTAACACTAATTAATTTTCTTTTTTTCTCTGACTACATTATAAGTGAGTATATAATCCAAAAGAAAGTATCAATTTCTTAACGTAACAGCATATATATAGTTCAAATAATAAGTACACAGCTTAAAATTTCACTAAAACTGCAATACAAATGAAACGTTCAATTTCAAAGTTAACGGACAAAGGAAATTCTCAAGCACGACATCAGTCAATAGTCTTAACTTTGTCTTTAGATATGATTACTCGAGAGGTTTCAATGAAACTGTAAAAGTCTAACGCTAGAATCTAATTCAGTATTCGAGTAACCACCACCTTGGTTGTAGTCGACCAATGAAAGTTGTTCACATTCTATTTCTTTTTATCTCAGAAGTCATGAGGAAAAATTATAAGTTGATGTTTCAATAATTGCAGTGGTTACAAAAAATTCAGATAAAGACAGCTACAAAGTTTCTATATACTCTTCTCTTCCCTCGGTTGCTGTACGTTATTTATATTAAAAATGTAAAGCAAATTCATCATCATGTATCGTATTAAGAGACTTGATCAACATTATCATCCAGCAAAATTTAAATAACACGATAGAGATGATATACTCGATCGAATAATGTGAACGTATTGATTGAATCGAATTAAAATTGTTTAGTTGTAACAAATGTTTCAAAGATTATAATTTTATCAAAATACTTTTATCACAGATCAACAACTGAATGTAATTCTATCTTATTGATTAATATTTGTTAATTATAAATAGAAGACAGTGGGTGCGTTCTGTTTTGCACTTCTAAGTATAATTTCTCCTTTTAATATTACAACTTGATAAACAAGGTGAACTGATGTTAAATAACGTATCCTATAAGTTATGATTGAGCCTATCACATTCATAAACAGAAAAATATTGCTGGCCCGAAGTGCATGATCAAGTACAAATATTAAAGGATTTGAAATATCAAAATATCAAAATATATATGTATATAAAATTAAATACATTAAATATATTTAGTTTATACTGCGCAAAATCGCAATTATAATGAATGACGAACACATATAGGATCGTCCCCTTCGTCCTTCGAATTAGCGATCACACTGCAACAAATACACGTTTTCCTTAAAAATGCAGTGAGGTGAGCAAGGTAACATAACTTCCAAGAACTGCTCACTGTGTTGAAACATACTCCTGGAGGAACATATTGGAGGGATTTGTAAGGAGGAAACAAAGATGTACCTTCGCAATGGAAAAACCAGAGAAGATTACATTTAATATTCCGGCTGATTTCGAAAAGGTGCTGTAAGTTAGAATATATAGCAATTCTGTAAGCTGTAATGAAGAAGAAGACATCTCGATGAGTGATATTTTGAAAATAAGTTCCTAATATTATACATAGTAAACAACATTTTTATACAATAATTTTTACATAACATCAGCTCATTTTTAACCAGCAGCTCAAGACTCTTAAACAAATAAATTTATATTAATTTATACTTGTATTGCAAATAAAATATACAATATTATTAAAAATACAATATTATTAAATATACAATATTATTAAACAAGTGTATGTTTAATTCTTAGTCACAAAACATTATTTTATTATATAATTAATTTTA